AAGTTCTGCACATATTCCGTCTTCTCCCGCTGTTTTTCCGTTTTTGAGATTGCATATTTTCTATTTCACTTCTGTGTAGGTCAATTCTTCTGCTTCATCATCTTGTGCTGTGTTCGTTATTGTTTCTCTTTTTTCTTCTCTATCCGTTTCTTGATATTGTTACGATAAATAATGACTCATGTCTAAACTGTAAACATCTTTTTCTAACCAGTATTTTTTTAATAGATAATACCCACGGGCCTTATACCTGCGATTGAAAATTTCTCCCCATTTTCTCCCATTTTTTCTTTCTTTTTTACTTCTCTTTTTAAATTTTCTGTTTTCACTTTGTTTTGCTTGAGTTTCTGCTTTATATCTCCCAGTTCGTTTTTCATCTTTAATTTCTGTTTTGCTTTTCAGGATATCTTCTTTAATCTCTTCCATGTCCGTTATTATTGTACTTGCTTTTTTATGCACTTGTCTGGATTTTATATTGCTCTTCTTTATCCTCTTCAATCGAGCTGTCGTGTTCCGGTTTGTATCTTTTTCCTCCGTTTTTATTTTCTTTGTTGTTCATCTATTTGTATTGTTGTTTACTTTGTAGTAATTAGTTCAAAATTATATCGACTTCTCCACAGACTGTGTTCGTTAACTCAGCCATAGATGGTCCTCAATACTTTGCTTTCAAAAATTCGTAGTAACTCTTATCTCGTGTCGTCATTGCCCATGTTTTCGATCCGTAAGTGAGCACTGAGCGTATTATTGTTTTATAAAGTTTGCACTTTGTTGCTCTTGACATTTTCTCGCTCTTATTTGAGGGCCTAGGCCAAAATAACAGCGGTTAGTCCGCTATTGTGAGCAACAGTGACCCTACGTAGAAGAACTCTTCCACCGTTTCTATAGTTTCGTGTTGCTGCGGCGTTTTTCATACGTGTGAAATCTTTTGGAAACTGTTTCGTGTCGGGTTCTTATGATCACGATATCATCAACATATGCCAATATTTCTATACTACGGGTATATATCGTATCCGTTAAGTTTATTCCCGAATTTCCCAAAACTTTTTCTAACACTAGTTTGAACTGCGTGCATTATAGTGCATCTCACTGGCGCAGATCTCTGCTAGTTTTAAATGGTTCTGAAAGTTCTCCTTGTACTCGCATTTACATTTAACTGTTCTCATTGTCGTTTTAATTATTTCCACCGATCCTTTTGATATTCCAAATTCGAGCATAGCCGAATATAATTGGAGTCTGTCAGAATTATCAAACGCTGCCTTAAAATCTACGAAGATGTAATGGCAGTCTATGTCGTACTCCGTCGTATTTTCTAATATTTGTCTGATCGATGATATGTGATCAATGGCAGATCTATTTTTCAAAAAGCCTCTTTGGTATGATCCTATTATAACGTCAGTAAATCGTTCTTTAAGAATCAGGGACAAAATTGTGTATGTCGCGTTAAAAAGGAAAATCCCCCTGTTGGAAGAAAAAAGTTGGAACAGTCAAGCACGTTGCCTGTTTTGTGTATAGGTCATATAACTCCAGTATTCCAATCTTCGGGAAAGCGCGTTATTGCCATATATGTATTAATAGTTTGTGAAAGAGAGTTACAAATGTTTGACAGTCACATTTAAATATTTCTACGGATAGGTTTTCTACGTTGCGGTCACGTTTTTTCACTATAGCTTGGGCTATTACTATTTTTACAAAACGATCTGTCTCTCTATTTGGAAGATGTACCGTTAGCGATCAAACAAAGTATACAATTTTTGTAGGATGGTGCTCCACTCCACTATAGCGACAAGTCATTTTTATTTCAACTATAATCAGCATATGGGATAGAAAGGAGACCCCGATACACTTATTGAATTAGCACAGTGCGGTCCAGATCGTAATCCAATGGATTTTTATTTTTTGTGATTTATGAAGGATTTAAAATTTTAAGCGAGTGATTTAATAATATTATTATGCGTATTAATAATAAATAATACGCAGAAATAAATAGTACAGATCAATTAAAAAACTGAATTTTACAAGCTCCTAATGCATTTCGACAGAGACATTTAAATGCTCGTGAAATATAAACTTTTTAAAACTGTTTAAATCTTATTAATATTTGTGAAAATAATAAAACCATTCTCAAATAAATATATATATATATATATATATATATATATATATATATATATATATATATATATATAAACAAATTACCGTAATTTGGGGTAACTTGAGACGATGGGATTACTTGAGACAATTTGTAGACACTATTATTTTCGTCGATTTGGCATCACGGTTAACACTGTTAGTGTTGTTTTGATAGCAAAAGGTAGCTAACGTGTGGTTGTTGACCGTTAGTAATTAAATTCTTTTGTCTTATCTAAGGTAAGTTGATAATTTTTTTAATAAACATCAACTTTAAAATTGCCAAATTTCATGTAGTACATAATTTATATAATAATTCTATGACTAATATCCGAAAACAAGCAATTGTTGTAGAAAACGTAACCTCTAATATTAATATTGGTGTGCCGTAAATTTCATTGCGGCGTTGCCAAGTTTATGGCTGCTATAAAATATAAATTCTCAGCCTGACCTTGGTTGGTCAACTTGAGACAACTGTCTCAATTTACCCCACCACAAATTAGATACTATAAAAACTAGTTTCTAACCTACCTACTTACCTATCTAATTACCTTTTTTTCATTATTGTTTCAGGCTCAGGTATGGTTCGAAGGCAAAAAAAATTTTGGGATCTAGAAAATACCGAAATTTCGCGGAGGAGCAACTTCATAAAGCAGTGGAAGCTATTAGGTCCGGGATTTCTTTGAGGAAAGCCGAAGAAAAGTTTGGAATACCACGATGTTCTATAAATAGAGCAATAAATGGAAACAACACAGGAAAGGTTGGTAGACCATTTGTTTTAAATGAAGTTGATCAAAATGCTTTAGTAATGTGTCTATGTTCAGCTGGGGATTGGGACTTTCCTCCCACACTATACGATATTAGACTCATTGTCAAAGCATTCCTCGACCGTTCTAGAAGAAATGAATATAGATTTAAAAACAACATGCCAGGTAGAGATTTTGTCATGTCTTTCTTGAAGCGTCACCAGAACATTTTGAGTAATAAAATGTGCCAAAACATAAAGTCGACCATAACGCCATAAATATTTACTTTGATGAGTTAAATTAGTCAATGGAGGGAGTTCTTTCTCATTCTGTCATTAATTAAGATGAAACAAATATGACAGACAATCCTGGTCGTAAAAAAGTTGTTGTTTGAAGAGGGTGTAGACATCCTGAAAGGATTATTAATTTTTCTGTCAAGTACGTCTGTATGGTTTGCTGCTGCCGGAGACGGGACACTTCTCCCTCCATATGTAACATACAAAGCTGAGAATCTTTATAATACCTGGACCGAACATGGCCCTAAAGGGACAGTGTATAATAGAAGTAAGAGTGGCTGGTTCACTTTGGAGATATTCGAAGATTGGTTTGGAAAAATCGCCTTGACTTATTTCTCGAAACAAGATAAAGAAGAGAAAAAAGTAATTATTGGGGATAATTTGGCGAGCCATATATCCCCATATATAATAGAGGAATGTAAAAAAAACCAGCATAATCTTCATCCTACTTCCCCCAAATAGCACTGGACTTACTCAGCCGTTAGATGTCGCATTTTTCCGCTCTTTAAAATTAAGTGGCCTGAAACTTTAGATTCTTGGACAACAAAAAATCGAGGAACTGTGCCAAAAGATACATTTCCTCGTTTATTAAAAAAATGTCTGGAGGCAATGGGAGAGAAAAATCTTTCACAAAACGTAATAAGTGTATTTAAAGGAGCAGGGTTAATTTCACTAAATCGAGGAGAAGTCTTGAAGGGGCTTCCCAGTAAACAGGCAGTAGAGGATGGCAAATAAAGTGAGAATACCGTTGCCTGGGTAACTACATTTCAAGAATATTTAGAAGAAAGTAGAAGGAAAGATACAGATGGTTTAAGAAAACAAAAAAAAAAGAAATTGAATGTTTCTGCTGGTAGAGGAATCTGTGAAGAGGATATAATAATTTTGGCAGACAAACCAAGGCTAGAAAAAAAAAGAAGCCAATTAATGGAAAAAAATAAAGAAAAACCATCATCTAGTGAGAAAATGTAAAAAACAAGTAAACTAATTATGCCTAGTGAAAGTGACGAAGACAGTTGCAATGAGGTTGTATTTGACGACAGTTCAGATGATGACTGGGATTCATTTCAAGCAAAACAGATTGACAATATTGAAGACAATATAACTGAAGAGACTAATGACCAGGATAATATTTACTCTCATCAAGATAAACATCCTCTGCAGCCAATAACTAAACAAGTTATCAATTATCCTGGGGTAATTGAAAAGATTGACGGTAAAGGCGCGATAATAAGTGCATGACAAAGACTTCACGGGAAAACTGGAAATGGCCCAAACCTAAGGATGAACTGTATTATTGCTGGCAGGACATTGTAGGTGGTATTAAACCGCCTAAAGCCCTAAACAACCGAGGTATTTTTTCAGTACCCGAACTAAAATTGCTGTAATTAATTGTTTTTAAATAAAAGTTTTGAGCTCTCTGTCTTTTCTATTAACCCAAAAAAATATTCTGAATGTCTCAATTTAACATAACACTTTATAATTATATTTTCGGTGTGCCAAGTTACCCTATCACTGCGTAATTTGAGTCACTTTTTGAATTTATACGACTGTCTCAAGTTTCCCCATTCTAGTGCGTAACTTGAGACAGACAAAAAAAAATTGAAAAAACTACTTGTGACAAAATAAACAGAAATATTCTATAAACATATCATAGTTACCTGCGCGACTAATATTTTCAAATAGTTTTTGAACATTAATTTTTTTCCGTATGTAATAAACTTCTGTTTTAAGTTAAAAAGTGTCTCAAGTTACCCCAAATTACGGTATTAATTAAATTAAAAGTAAATTAAATTAAATGGTAAATACAGTGTAGAGAAAATTTATGAGAACATACCTGTGTATCTTTACCAAATCCTACTTGTCCTGAATGTCTTTTACTGTTTAAAAAATTCTTAAAACCATTCCATTTAAATATAGATTTCGAGGGAATTTCGTAAGAATGATTTTGCTGTTTAGGCATACCGTAAACTGCATTTTGCAAGTACGGAATAGGCGTAGCTCTATGATTGATTTGGAAATTGAGAAAATCATTTGGTATTAGGTTTTGAGATTCTGAACCGCTACAATGTTTTGATGATTTATCAATGAGCAAACTGTCGCTTGAACCTGGAATAAATTGAAGTGTTACTAAAAACTCGGCAAACATGACGGAACCAACCTAATAATAAATTTCTCTCCAAACATGGATTTCTTCCCTGGTATGGCTGTAATGGAGTTACGCATACAGCAAACTGATTTGAATTTTTACAATTTTCTTCGGATGGCGAAAGTAGGGTTTCAATTGTATTAATAGATGCATCAAACTGGTGGTCATGCAGATGGTTGTTATTAATAAGTGGAGTAGGACTGGCAGGAGGATGGTAGGGATGAAGACTTCGACCTTTTAAAGTTGGAACCTCTACAAGGCGTTCAGCTATACATAACGCGGTCAGGCGAGCTTCAGCATCCTGAAAGTTAAACAAAATAAACACCAAAATCAAATACTCATGACACTTTTACAATCGTTTTAAATCGCAATACTCCCCATTTTTTAATAAAATAGTGTGTGTGGTTTGCGTGTATGTGTGTGTGTGTGTGTGTGTGTGTGTGTGTGTGTGTGTGTGTGCGTGAGCTTGCGCGTCTGTGCGTGAGCTTGCGCGTCTGTGCGTTAGTTTGCGCTCGTGTGTGTGTGTGTGTGTGTGTGTGTGTGTGTGTGTGTGTGTGTGTGTGTGTGTGTGTGTGTGTGTGTGTGTGTGTGTGTGTGTGTGTGTGTGTGTGTGTGTGTGTGTGTGTGTATGTGCGCGCGCCCGCCCGTATGTTTCACTAGAAACTATGTCAACAGTTTTGTCAACAATATTTGAAAACAATGGTAACAGAATTAGAAGAAAAATCGAAATAGATAGATCTAAGATGAATATGAAAAAAAAAACAAAACTGAGGATCCCAAATAATACAGAAATTATAATAAGAAATAAAAAATGTATCCTAATACATTTATTTAGGCTAAAAAATAAAAAGAGAAATAGAAAATAAACATATTGAAGTATACTATAAGATTGAGGTAGACAGACTTTTTTCAAATGTAATATACCCTAATAAATAAGAAAATTTCACAATATTTGAGAACAATACTGTACGATCAATGTTTATTGCCAGTAATAACATACGCAGACAAATGAACAACTCATAGAGATGACAATAGTAACTTATCTAACAAAAAGAATAAAAGAGCTAAAATGGGATTACGCAGGACAAATTGCAAGAATAAAAGACGAAATATTGAATAGAAAAACATAAAGTGGAGATTTCGGGAAGCACAAAGAAGAAGAAGGCCAATAATAAGATGGAAAGATGACCTAAAAAAGTTAGCAGGCAAAACGTGGCTGAAAAAAGGCTACACAAAAAGGAATAAAATATTAAATATTTCTTAAAAAAAAACTTAGTTAAAATACCATCATTTTCTCGATACTTAACTGTTAAGGATAACTGCAAATTTTAAAGGAAAATTGAGTAATGTGTATTATAATTTACATTTAATTGTCTAAATTTATGTTGGTAATTAAAGATAGTACTAATCATTGCTTGTTGTATTTTTGATACCTGATCCCAGCAATCTTCAGCCGTTTCACAAAGTAATCTTGCAGACGCAGTGTCTTTCCAAGATACTGGCCATAGTGGTCTAACTTTTTTCCGGCTAACCAATGCCTGCATCTGTTCTAAAGTTGGATTATCTCCAGCCTCCTAAAAAAGTTTTATTTCATTTGATAAAAATGATAATTACGAGCACAAATTTTTAAAAAGATTTTATTACCTTAGCAAATGGAGGAGTATATGGATAAGGCTCTGTATTCTGCAAATCAGTACAACGCGTTCCTAGCTCCCAAAGTACTAAACCGAGGGCATAAACGTCAATCTGTTTAAGGGCACTCTCACAGTCTCTAAGATTTACAGCTCCTTCTAACACTTCAGGCGCCATGTATCTAAGAGTTCCTTAAATAAACAACGACCTCTTTAAACTATACTTGTACTATACTTGTACTATACTTGTAATAACTGTATAAATAATTTCCAGATATTAAATTAAAAAACATTTCTTTAAGCCCTCTATTATAAACAGGTCGTATTACAGTCACTTATGTTTATTGTACATTGTATGTGTGCAAAAACATTTTTTCACTATTATTTTCCACTTTTATTAAAGTTGTATACTTAAGTACGAATGTTCTACTGTAACTACATCTACTTTAAAATATATAAATCATAATTTTAAAAATCAATTTAATATTATCATAATTTTTTTTAATATATATATATATATATATATATATATATATATATATATATATATATATATACAGTGTAGGTAAAATTTTATGGTCGGTATGGTAAAACTTAACAGGATATCTAACACAGATATAAAATCATATTTTCAGCGAATAGACAAAGATAACAATCATATTCCCACTTGGTCTCCCCTCCATAAATCTTCTTGACGCCCATTGCCTGTTAGTGAGACGATTAGTTCCGATCAGAGATATTTTACATATTCTGTGGTTCCGATCCTCATAAAGCTAAGAAACTAGAGGTGGGTCCTCTAGTTTTTTAAATTTTTATCGGAACCGTTTTTCGTAAACTGTAACTAGTTGATTGTTTACCAGTATTCAAATTAGCGAGTACACAAACATATTGGCTATTATCGTTTATGTGTATAAGTATTGAAGTGAAAGAAACTAACGAAGAATATATTTATTATAACTTGAAAAATAAATTAAACAATACAAATAGTACTTACATTTACATGGACTTAAGTCATCTTTATCAGTTTCTTTTTCTTGTACTAGTTAATTTTTAATAGTATAATCTTCTTTTTCTTTTTTTTATAGAAGTAACCAGCTTCAACCATCAACTAGTTGATTTTAACGAATTTAACCGAAAATTTAGAGTTTAACACGGTTTTATTAGGCTGCTGCCATTTTTCTGGAAACCATAATTCAGAAAATATCACTTTTAAAATTAGTGAAATTATTATTCAGTGGGGTCTAAAACAAAAAGTAAATTTTGCAGTAACTGATAATGCCTCAAATATGGTCATAGCTATTAAATATGTTTTGGAATGAAAACATTTAAATTGTTTTGCTCATACGTTAAATTTATTGATGGAGGACGTACTTAAATGCTGTCGTGTACAAATAGATAAAATAAAAAGTCTTTTTTTCGACAATTCGGCAAAAAACACATTTAAAAAAAGTACCGTATCTTCAGAAACGCTTTTAAAGTATCAATTACAACATAACAAAGATCCCAAACGGCCAATCCAAGACGTGGAAACTAGGTAGAACTTCACCTATTACATGTTAGAAAGAATGACGGAGTTAGAAGAGGCAATCCGTTCCACATTGGTATCAGTTAATACAGACTTATACTTAGACCAAATCTAAATAATGAAGACTGGATTATTTTTTCGTAATTGTCCCAAATTTTACGGTCTTTTAAATAAATAACAAGTACAATGAGTGGCCAAAAATACTTGAATGATAGTTCAGTGATTGTTCTGGTACGCTGCCTGCAAAAATCTTGCAATAAAATTTTAGCAAACAGTAACCTTACATTCATAGTATCCGACGTAATACGGGTTTTTATTACTAATTACGGGATAATTACTAATCTCGGGTTTAGCAAAAAGATTTAGAGGGATAGAATACAGTGGCATATTGTCATTATGTACGTTTATGGATTCACGATTTAAAGTGCAGGGATTTTCTGATAAAAATGACGCTAAAAAAACAAAAGAAAGAGTTAAGAAGCTAGTTACTTCTATAATTAAAGAACAAGAAGATTTTACTATCGAAAATCAAGCAGTATAAGAAAAAGAAACCGATAAAGATGACTTTAGGTCCATGGTGTATTTTTGATCAATTAATTGGACATGACTCATCTAAACGTACACCTGTAGCGAGAGTCCATTACAATGGTGGAAAAACTATCGCCATGTATCTCCTAATTTAACCACTATATTCATAAAGTATTGTAAATGTGAACACATGTTCAAAATCATGTTTAATTTTAAGAAGTAAAGTAAAAAAACTTATGTTTTTAAATGTCAATTTAGACGATTCGTGATTTAATAATAACGTGTAATGTAAACGTAGGTACGATTTACTATTTGTATTGTTTAGTTTAGTTTTCAAGTTATAATAAAACCTTTATTAGTTTCCTTCACTTCAATAAATATACACATAAACGATAATAGCCATTATGTTTGTTTATGTAGGTAGTTTCTTACTTGAAACTACTATTAAAAAATCATAGTTACCTGTTTACAAAAATCGGTTTTGCGACGTCAATGACCCACCTCTATTCGTAAATACCTGTGTACGCTTTGATTCGGTGATTTGACCACGCGACACGCCACATTTGTACGAAGCTTTTTTTATTTATATGCAGCTTAATATTTTTATTGGAAATAAGGCATAATGTCACTTTAGACTAAGTTTGTTTTGATGTTTAGATTTTTAATTCGGAAATCGTTTTTAAAATACCAAACATTAATAAATTTTATTTATATAAAACGATTTCCGAAGTATAAATCAAAATGTTATATTACACTTATTGTAAAGTAAAATTGTGGCATATTCCCAATAAAAACAATAAGCTGCCATTTAAATCCATTTCGCCCAAATTTCATTATCTTGGAGCATTGTTCAAATGCGAAAAAGACAACAGGTCAAATAAAACCAATAAGTTTGGCAACGTTGAATTTCCCCTTTTTATTATATCCACTCATTTATGTTCGGTGATATAAAAGTCGGACACCTAATATATCTCTCTCTTTTTAAACAGTTATTTCTCACTCCATCTCATGTAAGGTCCATACCGACCATAAACTTTTACCTATACTGTATATATATATATATATATATATATATATATATATATATATACATATATATATATATATATTTATATATATATATATATATATATATATATTTATATATATATATTTATATATATATATATTATATATTATATATATATATATATATATATATATATATATATATATAATTCATTCGACCGTTACTTGATGGAAATTCATTTTATGTAACAATAAAATATTGAAAACTATGTTTTCAAAACTTCCACAAAATTTACTATAAAATCTAATCGTTTCGATAGAGTGCCTTTCTTAAGTCTCAAGCTGTAGTGATAAAATTTTATAATAAATGTTGTGGAAATTCCAGTTTTATATATATATATATATATATATATATATATATATAATTTATGTATATTATCAATAATATATTTACATTTATATTATTTATATATGTTATGGACAAAGTGATTATGTTAGCCATTATGTATAATGCCCGGTCATTATTAATAATGACTAACTTCAGCGGGCAATTTCATAACTTTTTACAATTTATCATATTGTCTGGTCATTATGAAAAATGCTATACTATGGCCAGGCAATGTGATAAATCGGCGTTCTTAGTAAATCATGCGATCTTCAGCAGCTAATCAACGCGCTGTATCCAAGGTTACAGTCACCGAAGCGCGTCGGCCATTATTTATAAATCATATTGCAGTTGAATGTTAGTAATGGTATATACGACAAGTGGTTTGTTTGTGACATTTCTTTGTTAATTCTTTGTTTATAAAGTATTGCATAGTGAACTATGGAAAAAGAAGAACCATTAAGTGATATGAAAAATCGGTTAACTGAATTAATTTCAGCAAAAAGTCAAAATTCACAAATTTTCACAAAAACAGCCTACATGGAAATGATACAGAAGGTAAAAAACTATAAACGTTATGACGACGACGTTATGACGATTAGAGAAGTAGAAAAATTGATTGTTCCTGTGAAAAAAGATAACGTAATTAAATACTACGTCCATACGGAAGAAATATTTGATACATTGCGCGATCTTCATGTTACTATCGGGCATGGTGGTAGAAACCGAATGGAGAAGGAAGTACATTCTAAATTTAAAAAATATTACAAGGGAGATGATTGTTATCTATTTAAATTTATGCATGACCTGTCAGAAAAAAAACATAATGTTCCGAAGAAAGGCTTGGTGGTGAAACCAATATTAAGCAAGGAAATTAATGCACGATGCCAAGTCGATTTAATCGATATGCAGTCACAAGCCGATGGCTGTTATAAATTTGTGCTTGTTTATCAAGACCATCTTACCAAATTTGTCCAATTTCGACCTCTTACAAGTGAAAGAGCAGAAGAAGTATCGCATGTACTTTTAGATATTTTCACAATATTTGGCGCGCCGAATGTGCTTCATAGTGATAATGGCAGAGAATTTGCTAACCATATTATCAAAGAGCTGTGTAGCATGTGGCCCGAGTTAAAAATGATACATTGCAAACCCAGGCATTCTCAGAGTCAAGGATCTATAGAAAGGGCCAATCAAGACGTAGAGAATATGCTTAGTTCGTGGTTAGAAGACAACAATACAAACAAGTGGTCTGAAGGCTTACGTTTTGTTCAACTAATGAAAAATAGAGCTCATCACACTGGTATAGGTTGTAGTCCATATGAAGCCATGTTCGGCACAAAGTTGAAAGTTGGTTTAAAAAGCTCTCTACCCCAAGAAGTTCTGACTGATGTTAATTCGGAGGAAGACTTAGAGGTCCTGTTCAAAAATCAAGAGGCTGGGCTATCTACAGAACCGGATATAATACAAAATAATAATATAAATGTGGACTCTTCAATAATGTTGCCCGTTCGATATCATCTGGCTACACCCTGGACGTTCAAAAAATTGGAGCAATTTTAATTGATGAAAATTCATCTCGTAAATCTAGTCAAGTTCCAGAATTTTTAATAAATGCGGTAGAAACGGCTATTGTAGTTAATTTAGAAAATAATGAAAATCTGGATTCCAATATAGATATTAGAATAAACGATGTAAGGAAGAAAAGAAAATTGGCTTTGACGAATGTAGAACAACAAGCCGAGA